CTCCTCGTCCTCCTCCCACTCCTCCAGCTCCTCCTCCTCCTCCTCCAGCGCCTCCTCCCACTCTGCCCAGCTGAGGTCCGAGCGCACGCCCTCCATGGCTGCGCCCGCCTGTCCCGCCGGAAGCCCGCGGGATTTAAAGGGCGGCGCCCGCCGTCCCCCAGGCAACGCCTCCGGAAGCCCGCGGGATTTAAAGGGGCGGGCTCTCCAGGGTCCACCGTCTCCAGGCAATGCCGGAAGCCCATGGGATTCAAGGGGGCGGGGCGTCTTTAGAGTCTGCCGTCTCCCAGGCAACGCCGGAAGCCCGCGGGATCCGAAGGGGCGGGGCGCCTTTAGAGTCTGCCGTCTCCCAGGCAACGCCGGAAGCCCGCGGGATCCGAGGGGCGGGGCGCCTTTAGAGTCTGCCGTCTCCCCGGAAGCCCGCGGGATCCGAAGGGGCGGGGCGCCTTTAGAGTCTGCCGTCTCCCAGGCAACGCCGGAAGCCCGCGGGATCCGAAGGGGCGGGGCCTCAGCGCGGGCTCCCCTCCCAGTGGGTTCTTTTCACCTCCGTCCCGTGGCTTCCGGGCCTCTCCGCGGAGGAGGCGGAGGGGGGGCAGGGGCTCCTCGGGGCGCTTGTTCCTGTGGGGTCCACGATGCGCCCCACGGCCCCGCGCATGTCCACGGCCCCCACAGATATTCACAGCCCCCACATATGTCCACGGCCGTCCACAGGCCCCACGGATGTCCACAGGCCCCACGGATGCCCACGGCCATCCACAGGCCCCACGGATGTCCACAGGCCCCACGGATGCCCACAGGCCCCACGGATGCCCACGGCCGTCCACAGGCCCCACGGCCGTCCACAGGCCCCACGGATGCCCACGGCCGTCCACAGGCCCCACGGATGCCCACAGGCCCCACGGATGCCCACGGCCATCCACAGGCCCCACGGATGCCCACAGGCCCCACGGATGCCCACAGGCCCCACGGATGTCCTCAGCTGGTCCACAGGGCCCTGTGGCCGTGTAGCCCTGACCACCCCAGCCCCTTGGCTGGAACCCCACGGCTCCGCGCAGTGACCGGCTCGCCTGTGGGGTCTGCTCTGCCCCGGAGGAGACACTGGGGTAGGACCGGCCGAGGCGCTGCCGTTCTGCGTCTCCCTTCCAGCCACACCCCACTCCTGGCTTTTTGCTCTACATCGGCCTTGAGAGGCTGGCTTTGAACCACGATCCTCAGATCTGAGCCTCCTGAGTAGCTAGGCTTGCAGGCCTGAGGCTCGGGTGCCCGGCCTGGAGAACAGTTCTGACTGTCCACTGAGCCCTGGTCGCCGTCGGCAGGAGCCCGGGGAGACATTCCCGGACCCAGCTTGGGGGTGACGGGTGACTCACGCCATCCGGCAGGGACGGTGCCCTGAGCGCTGACCCTCACCCAGGACCCCGCTGCCAGGAGCCCAGTCCCGTTACCCCCACTCGTAACATCTGCGAGCTCTGCGTCTAGTGACCCCCACCAGACGGGAAAATAAGCTACCGCTCAAGGTGTTCTCTAGCGCTGGTCAGGAAGGTCTGCTAACCACATGGGGGGCATGGCGGCACAGGGGGTACGGGGGTGTACGCGGGGTCACGGAAGCACCATGTTGTCACCACAGGATGTCGGGGCCCCGGGAACCCTGCCACACCTTCCCCTCCTCTCCGAGATGGCACCAGTCATCGGGCCTCAGCTGTTTCCTGCTTGCTGGCCGGGGTCGCCCAGGCCAGCCAGAGTTCACAGGACTCTGCGTCAGGCTGCAGCTTAGGAGAAGAGGAGGCTTGGTGATAGAGGCCCGCTAGAGACCAGCCTCCCTGAACGTGTGAACAGACGCGCCGTGGCAGAGCCGGCCTGCCGTCCGTCCGTCCGTCCATCTCACCTCCTCCCAGACGGGGGGGGGGGGTAACCTGGGGGAGTTGTTCAGTTTCTGGCAGGAAATTCCACTCAAGGAAGTGGAGGGCTGCTGTGCGGTGGGTGTGGCACACCAGCCGGCCTCTCTCGGGCGCCGGAACAGGGGCGCGCCCCCAAACCCCCACCACGGGGCTCAGGACGTAGGTGTCCACGCAGGCCCAGGCCACGACCTCGGTCACAGGCCATGGTCACAGCGCCCTTCCCTCCCCCCCAAAGCACCACGTCGGCGCGTCGGTGCTCAGAAAAAGATGTTCTTCAACTAGAGACACGAAGCACGCTGTTTGTTTATGGAAAATATTTATTAAAAAACTAAAGCCAATGTGGGAAAAATGAAAAAATAAAAACCCCACCACCCACACGTACCTTTAAACAGCACCTTGTGACACCTGTGACAAAACTGGTCTCACTACTGACCAGGGCCTCACCGCCGGTCGGGGAGGGCCGGGGTGGGGGAGCGAGAAAGTCAGGCCGGGCCTTGCTTTCCTGGACAATCCACCCTGAACCCCAGGGGCAGCCGGGCCCTGGGCGCGAGCATGCCCGGGCGTGGGCTCCGTGCTCTGGCCCAGGGTGGAGGGACACCGGGCAGGTGACCGACTTCAGGACTGGGCAGCCTGAAGGCACCCGGAGTCCAGACTCGCGATTCAAGCCGGTCACCCCCAAACGGTGTGAAAGACTCACTCGAGGACCTTGTTGGAATTCAGGCTCCCCTGAATCTTTCTCTTTCTTTCTGGTCATGGGGCTTGAGCTCAGGGCCTGGGTACCGTCCCTGAGTTGTGTCACTCAAGGCTGGCGCTCTATCCCGAGCCACCGCCTCCACGTCTGGCTTTCTGTGGTTACTTGGAGATATAGAATCTCACAGACCTTCCTGCCCTGGGCTGGCTTTGAACTGCGATCCTCAGATCTCAGCCTCCTGAGTAGCTAGGATGACAGGTTTGAGCCGCCGGCGCCCGGCCCAAATCTGCATTTTCACTCGGGTCCTCAACAAGATTCTACGTGTGGTCCTCCCCCGGGGGAGAGGCACCGCCTGACTCAAGCAATGCTGGAAGGGTCTCTGGCCTGAGCCGCCTCACGGGGGACAGGCTGGTGGGGCCACCCGGCTCCGGGCGCCAACACGGAGCCCTGGGCACGGCGGCCTGAGGCTCGGCCGGGCAGTGATAAAGTGACCCCTGGGGTGGATTTGGGGTCACAGAACAGGTCACTCCCCTGCCACCCCGGTCCTCCCGCTCACGAACTGCCGGGGGATGCCGGGAGAGGACGTGTGCAGACATACCGAGTAAACCTCTATAAAACCTTTTATTAAACGGAGAGTGCCGGGCCCAGGCGCCGGCGGCGCCGGGTGCGAGCGGGCGCGTCAGGGGCAGCAGGTGGAGATGGTCACGTTGATGCCCAGGTTCCCGTTGTCCGCAAACAGATGCGCGATGGCCGTGTCGAAGACCAGGCAGTCGCTGTTGAGGATGGCGGCGGCCACGCCGTCGTGGATGGAGCGCGGCGTGGCCTCCCAGGTCAGCCGCCGCCGGTTCCCGTTCAGCTCCAGCCGGTAGGCGAAGTTCTCGGCCTGTTTGCGCGTGCCGATGAGCAGCACGATGGCGAAGAACTGCTGGTGCCCCTCGTACTTCTCCTGCTTCTCCAGCACCAGCATGAAGTGGTGGCCAAAGCAGGACTGCATCATGACCCAGTCCACGGCGCCCGGCAGGTTGATGTCCGTGGCCAGGAAGACGATGTCCTCCCCCTGCAGCGTGGTGATGCTCTTGTGCGCCAGCATCAGGTGCGACATGACCGTCTCCAGGGCCCCCTGCCACTTGCAGGAGGCGCCGGGGCAGGGGCAGGCGTAGGGCCGGAACTCACACACGTCCTCGTGCTCCGGCTTCTCCGTGTGGTGCAGCGTCAGAGAGCAGCCGGTGGTGGCATACTGCGGGGACACAGAGAGACACAGCGTCAGCCAGCGCTGCGCTACAGAGACAGACACGGCGTCGGCCAGCGCTGCGGGGACACAGAGACGGCGTCGGCCAGCGCTGCGCTGCGGGGACACAGAGAGACACGGCGTCAGCCAGCGCTGCGCTACAGAGACAGACACGGCGTCGGCCAGCGCTGCGGGGACACAGAGACGGCGTCGGCCAGCGCTGCGGTGTGGGGACACAGAGAGACACGGCGTCAGCCAGCGCTGCGCTGCAGAGACAGACACGGCGTCGGCCAGCGCTGCGGGGACACAGAGACGGCGTCGGCCAGCGCTGTGCTGCGGGGACACAGAGACGGCGTCAGCCAGCGCTGCGCTGCAGAGACAGACACGGCGTCGGCCAGCGCTGCGCTGCGGGGACACAGAGACGGCGTCGGCCAGCGCTGCGCTGCGGGGACACAGACACGGCGTCGGCCAGCGCTGCGGGGACACAGACACGGCGTCAGCCAGCGCTGCGCTGCAGGGACACAGACATGGCGTCGGCCAGCGCTGCGCTGTGGGGACAGACATGGCTCGGCCAGTGCTGCGCTTCAGGGACACAGAGATGGTGTCTGTCAGCACTGCAGGGACACAGAGAGAGGGACAGGGCTGCCATGCAGGGCTGCGTCCCCACTCATGGCCACGCAGGCCCGTGCTGCCCTCTGCTGCTCCACAACTGCGCACAGTGGCTTGGGAGTTGCATAATCAGTGTTTTGAGAGAAAGAAACAGTTTATTCCGTCTTCACCTCCTGCCTGGGCCTGAGGCCGCACCAGAGCACACAGACGCGCGGCGGGGCTGGCTCTCATGTCCACCGCGGTCTACAAGGGGAGGACGGCACTGGGGGCACCATGCCTTAGAGGACAAAGCAGCAGAGCCTCCTCACCAGCACCCGGGCCGCGGGCCTGCCCAGCAGGACCCAGCACCAGCACCCGGGCCCCGGGCCTGCCCAGCAGGACCCAGCACCAGCACCCGGGCCCCGGGCCTGCCCAGCA